AAATTGTTTTTGGCCCAAAAAGAATTAGTATTGGGCCGAACAAACTCAACCCAACCACACACCACGCACCCGCACCCAGGCCCAGCTTGACCGACCGACGGACGGCGACGGCACACGTGTTGGTGATTTTTGGGTCCAATGGGTCTAGCCCATAACCTCTCCCTCTAAAACACTTGGGTACCCCTTGGGGCACACCCCAAGTACCAAACTCATGCCTTATAAAACCCATTCAAAACTTCCATCAAATCAATGTGGGACAAGCCTTATTCAATACCTTTAAGAGATTTTTCACCAAAAACTCCATTTCCATGGAGCATACTTTGGCTTCAATTTCCCATTCACTCGGTAATGGTTTTGAGCAACCAAATATATCGCGTGAATCACAAACGCGGCATAGAATGCGTTACCACTTTGACCGTGAAAATCGATGCACAGGGCCCACCTAAAAAATAAACCAAACTTAGGAAAAAATTCTGGTTTTACCCAGAATTTTATAACCATTTCCACAATTCCATATGCCAACATGTATATAGGTAACATGATATATTCAAATGTAGTTTAATTGCTTTCGTGATGTATTCTATTATATACATATATATAAAATATTATAATTACATATTTGCATACATCGTAAAATCTTTTTATAATAGATCTGAAAAAATATATATACCTTTTTTTAAAATTTTTGTAGAGATTTTAAACTAATCATAACCTACCACTCCATAGTGTGTATTCAATTTTATTAAAAAAAGACAACCCATCAATATTACATTTGTCAAGATAATCAACAAATCAATCGATTTTGTCAAAATAATACAATTAATCATTTTAATTTGTTCAAAAAGTGAATGTGATCAGCCAACCAATAAATCAATTTGTCAAAATATGAATAGTGATCAGTCTAATTTTTCAAAAAGTGAATAGTAGAGTTTTCAAAATATTTTTATAAAATAATATTTTGTGTTCAAATAATATAAAATATGTATATTATTTATAAATTTTCAATTAATATTTTAGACATCATCAAAAATTAAACAACATGATTAACAGAATTCAAACCACCAAAATCATTAACGAACAGTATTAGAGATTGTATGCCTCTGTAATTGTTACACTTAATCTGTTTTTTAAAACAAAAATCAACACAGCATAATATTCATTTTTTATTTATTATTTTTAGAGTTAGATTTAAAAATTAAAAAATATAGATAAAAATACATTTATTTTTTTCAATTCAAAAAATATATCAAGTTGAAAACTCTTTTTCAACAAAATATATTTAACAAAATATTTAAACTATTTTTCCAATTGAAAACACAAAGTCTTATAAATTATTAGGGATGCTCGCAGTTTGGCAGTTCGGTTGCGGCCAAAGAATTTGGTTTGGTTGGTTGGGCGGATCGGTATATTCGTAGTCGTCCGCTCGTCATCACGCATCCGTCTAAAATGTGGCGGATCGATTTGGTTTGGTTGGTTTGGACGGATCGGTATATTCGTTGTTCACCTCTAATATTTACTCACTAGGGTATGCCCGTGCCTGAAGGCACGTGTAAATAATGTTAGGATATAATATAATTGTAATCGCAATACTATTAAATTTAAGATTAAAATGCAATTATAAAAATATATTAATAGACTACACTCTACAATTCCAAACAAATCAAAATAAAAATAAATTAAATATCAAATAATGCACACCAGCTGAGTACTCTGTAATTTAAAAGAAATTAAAATTAAAATGCACACCCGTTAGTGTTACTGCTGCCAATCAAATTCTAACTACAAAGAAAATACACACATAAAATTAAGAAAACAAACCCCCCCCCCAAAAAATCATAATTTTTGCTACTAAAAAAAAAACCAAAAAATCACAATTTCTGAACTAATAGAAAACTCAATTGTATATACTGAATATTGTTATATAATAAACGTGATGTTTTCTTATGTTGTATGATTGAAATTAATATTATTTATAATTTTAAGTTTAACCAAATCATATCAAAATTCTATTTATCATAACCATCTATTTGCAATCCTACCACACCAGATCAAATCTTCTTCTTTTCTTCCATGACCATCTATTTAAACTCCTACCACAACGTATACTTAACAGTGTACACACAAATATGAAAATACAAATCCATACACTTGGAACAATTACATAAAAAAAAGATTTGATATATACAATAAAAAATAATACTAAACTATTAATATAAAAAATAAAATAATAAAAATCCAAAAAAAAAGAAAATTGTTTTTTAAAATAAAATTTAATACTGTTATTTAAAAAAAAATAGATTTTAGAATGCTGAATTGTTTTTTAAAAACACACATAAAATTAACAAAACAAAAACCAAAAAAAAAAAAATCACAATTTTGCTACTAAAAAAAAAAACCAAAAAATCACAATTTCTGAAACTAACAGAAAACTCAATTGTATATACAGAATATTTTTATATAATAAACGTGGATGGGTTTTCTTAGTTGATGATTGAAATTAATCAGCTTGTTTGGTTTCGTTTTTCTGAAAATAATTTTCAGAAAATTCTACTTTCTTATTTTCTGTATTTTTTTATTTTTATTGAATTTTTTAAATATTTTAAGCAAATTTTTTTTTTAATTCTTAGACACACTTAACATAAATACACATAAAAAGTATAATTTTTGTGAAAAAATATTTTAAAAATTCAATAAATACCAAAAATACAAAAAAAAAAAGAAGAAAATTTAGCATGTTTTTCATATTTTTATGTATTTGTTAATTTTTTAAAATATTTTTTCACAAATTTTTTACTTTTTAGATACATCTAAATAAGGTACATCTAAAAAAGTAAAAAAAATGCTTAAAATTTTAAAAATATTAACTAAAAACAAAAAAACAAGAAAAACAAAAAGCTCAGTTTTCAAAAAACTTAATTCAGAAAATTCAAACCAAACACACTGAATATTATTTATAATTTTAAGTTTAACCAAATCATATCAAAATTCTATTTATCATAGCCATCCATTTGCAATCCTACCACACCAGATCAAATCTCTTTTCTTTTCTTCCATAACTATCTATTTAAACTCCTACCACACCGTATACTTTACACTGTACACACAAAATATGAAAATACAAATCCATGCTCTTGGAACAATTATAATAAAAAAAGATTTGATATATAAACTATTAATATAAAATAATAAAAATGCAAAAAAAAAATTGTTTTTTTTAAAAAATAAATTTTAATACTGTTATTTTAAAAAAACAACAGATTTTAAGAATGCTGATTTTTTTTAAAAAAAACACACATAAAATTAAGAAAACAAAAAACAAAAAAAAAAATCACAATTTTTGCTACTAAAAATTTTTTTTTTTAAAATCTGTTATTTTAAAAAAACAACAGATTTTAAGAATGTTGAATTTTTTTAAAAAAAACGCACACATAAAATTAAGAAAACAAAAAACCCAAAAAAAAAAAAATCACAATTTTTGCTACTAAAAAAAAAAACCCCCAAAAATCACAATTTCTGAATCAAAAGAACATTGAATGAAACTATTTACAATCTCTCATTTCTGGAAAAACCCAAAACCCCTTTCTCTGTAACAAAAGCATATCTCTCTTTATCATCACCATCAATTGCAGGTGTGGATAGAGAAGATCAGGAGCGATCAACACCATTAGATTTGTCATAGAAACCAATGACACGCATTGAGAGATAAAAGAACATTTAATCAATACTATTACTATCCTGACAACCCAAACACTAACAGCTCAGCAGTATAAATTGGGAATATAGGATATCAAACAAACATCTTGATACTCAATTCAATAAGTAAATCGATTCATGTTAAAAGAAGAATTTTCAGTATAAAATCGATTCATGTTTAAAGAAGAAGGGAGAGGGATAAAGACCCATTACAGAGAGAGAGAGGAGAGAGAGAGATATTTACAAACCAAAAAAAAAAACATTACAATTTTTGCTACTAAAAAAAAATAATAATAAATTTTAATACTGTTATTTTAAAAAAACAACAGATTTTAAGAATGCTAAATTTTTTTTTTAAAAAACACATAAAATTAAGAAAACAAAAAACCAAAAAAAAAAAATCACAATTTTTGCTACTAAAAAAAAAAAAAAAACCAAAAAATCACAATTTCTGAACTAAAAGAACATTGAATGAAACTATGATCGCAAGAACAATTGAATCAGTTTACAATCTCTCAATTCTGGAAAAACCCAAAACCCCTTTCTCTGTAACAAAAGCATATCTCTCTTCATCATCACCATCAATTGTAGGTGTGGATAGAGAAGATCAGGAGCGATCAACACCATTAGATTTGTCATTTAAAGTTGCACCAGCAAAACTTGTCTCTGGCAGCATACAGTCCAAAATGGAAGACAAAGAGAAAACTGATATTCTTCTTCTCGAAAATCTCTCTGAGTTCAGAGAGGAACTTGCCAATTGTTCAAAGTTTGCTGAACTATTATCAACAGGAATCGATATCTTTGCTAATGATGCATTTTCCCAATCTCATAGAATTCATGCCTCAACTGTTGCTATTACTCGCTTCTGCTATGCATGTGTTGTTGGTTTTCATTTTGAAGAGGGCCTGTATCAAGTAAAGAAGGCCATCAAAACCAACAAAAACAATTTATTGCGATTGTATGTTTGTAGCATTTTTATGCATTAAAGTTGATTTTTTTTTAAAAGTCTATATTTTCACTATATGAATCTTTGGGCTTACTCTTTGTGAGAGAATTATTGTAAGAGGGTTTAAGTACCAGTTATTTTTTATTCATTATTTTTGTGAGAGATTTTTGTAAGGGTAAGACATTTATTGTTGAGTCGAGGCTCAAATAGATAAGAGTAAGTCCTGTGCCAAAATCCACAAGCTTGGTGAAGACTTGGTGGTGTATTAATTCATTTGATAGTTAAAGAATTTTTAGAAGGTTCCTTTGGGGAGTGGAACGTAGGGCTGGCGTGCCAAACACTTAAAATCTCGTTTGTGTTTGATTTTCTCTCCCTATCTCTCTTCTTTTATATTGATATTATATCGTTTTTTATTTGTTTAAAATCTGAAATATTGTGTTATAATTTTAATATTGATAAAATTTTTTTAATAACCCAATTCACCCTCTCTTTGGGTTGTCACCTGAGGATAACAAATATTTTTATATTTTAAGAACTACCATATTGTATACCTTTGTAAATATTTTATGTGTGAGACTATTATGATTGTAATATGTGGATGAGACATTGCGTGATTGTTTAATATTCTATAGTTTCAAACTTTTCTTTCTTAGATGAGGCATGTAGTAATTATAACCTTTTTAGTTAATAACTGTAATACTTTTTTTTTTTTTTAAAGAAGTGCACAAGTTGAATTATATTAAAAATTTATAAAATTTTAAATCGCAAATCGATCGCATCCATCGCTAATTCGTCAATCCACTCAATCCACATCTGCCAGATTGGCGGACTGATGGCGAATTGATTCTTCCAATCCGCAAAATCTGGCAGACAGATTGGCAAATTAGAGGTTCATGGCCGCAATAAACCCCGGCGCCTTACTCTAGTAAATATGATGAATTATGATTGATGAGGAATTAGTCACGTGACGCCTCCAGAACACCAATAATTTTTCATAATGGTCAGCCAGAGAATGGGCGACCCGACTTTCGACCTTAAAAATAAGGCTAGTGTTGGACCGAAAGGTAAAACCCATGAGTTTGGCCATAACTTGGCCCAATTGACTTTTCAAGGTCCACCAGACTTTCTAAACCGAAAATAATGATTAGGAAGGAATGAGGAAAAATTATTTTAAAATATTTTTAATAAAATTTTCAACAACATTGGACTAAAAAAATGAGTTCAACTTTTCGTTAACTAACACTATTCTAATTTATTTTTTGGTGGAGAATGTAAATGGAGAACCTAATTGGGATATGTTTATCTTGTAATTGATGTAATTTCTCTCGCTTTTCTTTTAATTAGTGGCATATTGAATAAATTTGTTGCTGCAATTGAATTAATAGTTGGGATTTAATTTTTTATTTAATCAAATATGCCAATATAATTGTTAATGTGTCTTCAAAAAATTTATATTATAAATTTTTGATTTTTTAATTATTTCTAAATTGTAATTAAAAAACTTTTATAAGGTCTAAATTAAACCAATATTAGCGCTCAAATGAGCACCCACAAGCTCATATTTTTTAGTCATGTGTAGGACTTAGCTTACAAATATTAGGATTGGCTTGCTTGAACTTGATCCGTGACTAGTAAAAGTTTGGAGGGAGTTATAGGCTGGTCCTATAGATTGTCTATTTACCCAACAGGTGTTACTTCAAAAAAATTAAACAGTGTTTTCATTTTTACCCTTAGACTTAAACACTTGTAAATAATGTCACTACTTTAAACAAATTTATCACTAATTTATCACTGGTTTGAACAAATTTATCACTGATTTATCACTAATTTAAACAAAATTTCCACTGGCTAATACTGATTTAACAAATTTATCACTAGTTTTAAACAAAATTTGTCCTCACTGGCTTTAACACTGAGTTAAAATAATTTATCACTGGTTTAACATTGGTGTAAACAAATTTATCACTAGTTTATCACTGATGTATTACTAATTTAAACAAATTTATCAACTTGTTTCAACAGATTTATCACCGGATCTTCCCAATTACACAAAGAGAGAGAGAGGAGAAGACCCGCGGCAAAGAGCCTAGATCCTAATCTAAAGATGGAGCGATGATGACTATGGAGAGTGGAAGGCAACGAAAAACTATGGAGGTGAGAGGTGGGCAGTAGTCGACAACAACGGTTAGATGGAGGTAAGGTGAAGGATGTCAGGGCGATGGAGGTTGAAGACCTCATAAAGGTGGAAACATGGGTGAAAATGGAAGAAGATGTTGGTTGAGGTCACGGCTAATAACGATAGCAGAGGGCGGTGTGCTCAGTGGAGATGCCGAGTGTCATTTAGTAGGAGGGAAATGTGCAGAGAGACAGTAATACTCTTGAGGACATAAATGTTGAAATCTGAGTATAAAAACTGAGGGCAAAAATGAATAAATAAAAAATATTTAGGACCTATAGGTAAAAGAGTCTTTACTAAGGACATATTGGGGTAATAACTCTTCAAATATGATTGACCTGTAAAATCTCGAAAGTGTTATGGACTAAGCCTAGGTAAGCTTGGGCATAAATTTCGAGCCGACTGGCCCTTGTGAGCTTAGCTGGAGGTTCAATTCATGAGTTGAAAGGCTTTATTACACGCTTATATCTTTTAGTACTATAAATATTTACTAGTTGATAAGCATGGATAGTCATATAATTAGATATATTTTTTCTAAAAAAATAATGGCAGTTAATTATTTAAAAGTTCAATTATAAATATTAGGTAAATTATAATACTCTTTGAGATTTATTTGGAATTATAAATTACCTCCTATAGTTCTAAAATTACATATACCCCTAAGGTTTCTAATTTCATAACAAATAGGTCCCATTTATTAATAATCATCAAGTTAATTAACAGTTTTAATAATGTTAAATTTTATTTTCAATTAATAACTCAAATAATTTTATTATTGTATAGGTAAACAGTTGAAATTTCATTTTTTCTTAATTTTATTAAATAAAAAAATTCAGACAGTGAGCGTATTTGTAATTTTTTAAACAACAGAGGGCAATTTTATTTTAAGCAAACCTCATAAGGGTTGTATTTATAATTACCTAAATGTTATGGTAGTTCAGGAAACTATCTAAGATTTTTTGAATCAGGAAGCTTATAATTTAGTAAAACTAAGATATTATCAGTTTTTCATCAGTTTTTAAAACTAAGAATATTATCAATTTTGCATAAAATCTTCAAAAAAAAAAATTTCACTACTGTGAAAAAAAAATATGAGATTTAAATATTTTATCATTCTACTTATTGATTGATTAAACTATTTAATAAAACAAGAACATATCGTTTTTTCTAGCTTTTTAAAACTAAGACATTATTAGTTTTTTCATTTTAAAGTTTTTTTTTTCACATCAATGTTTTATCATCAATGCTCTTTTATAACACAAATTTTAAATTTTTGCATCAAAAAAAAATCCTTTTGTCAATTCTTTTTTACAATTATTATTATTATTTTTTTTGTACATTAATTTTTTTTTTTAATTTTTTCAATTGAAAGTTGATATTTAAAGTTTAAAAATCAAAATAAATGTTGAAATCATCATTGTTCCTTTATAGATAATCAAAATGATGAACAATCATTGTTTGAATGGGCAATTCGCACGATTAAAAATTTAATGGGACTTAAGGATCTAAAAAAATCTTAGTAAGACTTAATAGAAGTATCTATTTAATAAGGCACACGTTTTTTGAAAAATATGTTAGACACCAATTGTCCCTACTAGACATTTCAAGGTTCTATTGATCATCTGTCTATTAGATAGATGGCTAAGCATGACCCCTTAAAATATTATATCATATTAATCTGCACGAACTTCCCGCCCAAGACTTGAGCGTCCTATTACCCACGTCTTCTCACCTTCCCGCTGCCCAACGTCTCCCTTCCCTTCTTCCTTATCTCTCTCGCTTCTCTGTTCTTACCCACTCATTCGGCTTTTATCTTCTACAATCTGCAAGTACGGAACTCTCTTCAAGCTCTGTAACGATCTGCAATCTATCAAACGATCTGACTCTCTAACAAGATATGAAATATCTCTCTCTTCTCATCTCTGTAATGTCTTTTATCTCTCTTATAACGATCCCGGTTTACCCTTGTATGTACAGTGATCCGGAATGTGTCCGCGGATGTTGGTAGTTGTTATTATCTTGTTTGCATCCTTTTTACTTTTGTTTATTGAGTTATAGGAGTGTGAGGTTTTACAGGCTTGTTGTGTTTGGGGAGCTAGTGCTGCTGCCCAGATTTTTGCGACCTTCGCTCGATCGAGGACGTGGATCGCTCGGCAAGAGTTGAGTTCGTGTCTGGTGGATCGAAGCCAGATTTGGCTTCGCTCGAGCCGAGCGATTGCCACTCTGGTTCTGGACCTTGAGAACTACGATTTCTTTGGCTCGAGCGAGCTTTCTTCGCTCGAGCGGTCTGGGTTTGTTCTATCGCTCGAGCGAGAGTCTGTCGCTCGAGCGTGCTTCTTAGTTGCAGACGCTGAGGGTTTGATTGTTGGCCGAGCGAGCATTCTTCGCTCGAGCGCATCTGAGTTTTTGGCCGAGCGAGAACTTCTTGGTCGAGCGAGAGTTTTCTGTGTCTGGTCGCTCGAGCGACAAGGCTATCGATCGAGCGAGCGTTTTTTATCACGCGGACAGTAGCGTTTTTACTCAATTTTTCACTTTCTTTTTCTTTCCAACCCTAAATCCGAGACCTCTCTTCTCTAAACTTACACTCTCTCTAGATTTGATCTCCTAGAGTGATGAATCTAGCCTAGGCCCTTTGCTTAAAAAATAGAGGCGGTTGAGAGCTTGACTTATCTGAAAAAGGTTTGGATTTTGGAGCACGGTTGATCTTCGGTTTCTCTCCTTTTTGGCTCAACTTCCGAGGTGGAATATCCACTCTCTCTATGGATTTTGTTTCTTTAAATTTTTTTAGTATT